CTCTCGTCTCTCTCTCTCTCTCTCTCTACTCTCTCTCTCTCTCTCTCTTCTCTCTCTCTCTCTCTCTTCTTCTCTCTCTCTCTCTCTCTCTCTCTCTCTCTCTCTCTATATATATATATATATATATATAGAGAGAGAGAGCGAGAGAGAGAGAGAGCTATTCTTTTGTTGGATGTGTCCTGTAGGATATATAAGTGCTTTTTTTAGTTTGACGAATCCTTAACTTTGACCTTTCTCTTTCTCAGACCGTGTTGGAAGTGAATTCTGGAATCAGCAGGAGAGGATAGGTGATGACATACATGGAATTCAGTAAGCTTATCCTGTTAATTTGAATGTTCAAATCAGAGTGAGCACTGCAGATTTATTTTACAATATATACGTGTATGTTATTACATGTTTTACACATTATAACTAAATATGAAACATTACAGTACGACATTGACAACGACAGAAAGAGGGTGTCCACCTCCTCTTGAACTACTTGGTTATTCAAAAACCATACAGGAAGAGATGGGTGAGTGGTATAGTTAATTGACTAGGTCAGGTGCTAGCCAGTTATTGTATATAAGGCAGGTGTTTCTCCTATTAGAGGAAACCACCCATAAAAATGTTATATACTTTTGAAATGTCGTAGACAGACGGTCATTTCAGTCATAAAATGGATGAAAAAGTGAAATGTGAGTTGATGGATTGCATACTGTATAATTAATGGGATGATAATTGATACGTTCATTACTTTTGGGAGGTTTCTGAGAGATATTAATAGATCCGTTTGTGTGCTATATATTTGTAATGTGTGATGGTATGTGTAGATTCAGTGTGAGTTCAACATGATTACAGGAATAAGGAAACAGACAACTCCACAAAGCTGGCAGGAGTCCAAGTATCTCAAGAATAGAAAGGAGAAGCTTCGACCGCTGCTAGCTCGATTACTTCCTCATCAACCAGTAAGCTTTCTCTTGCCTGGAGGGAGAAGGGTTCTCAGGGTGTACCCCTCTCACTTCAAAAAAGTAATAGATTACATCAGGAATTATTAATAAAAGGATGTTTATGTAGATTAGCTCATCATCCATCCCATATAAATAACTAAATAAATAAATAAGGAGAATATAATAAATAATAAAATGAAACATAGCAGTATAGTAATAGATTATTTCAGGAATGCACAATGGACAAATAAATATCTGTTTGTTGTGTAACTGTGATTGTATGCGAGATACTGCTTGTTTAAATATCAATGTATATTCTTTGTTCAGGGAATGTGATCTTCTATTTTGTAATCTGTTTATTTAGTTATTACACCAGTGCTCATTTTTATTTGTGAAACAAGTTTAACAACAAGCTACGTTTTATGTGTTCATAGGTTTATGGTACCATGACACTATACCCATCATTATAAGTCTTTTTAATTAGCTATTGATCAAGCACATGTATTCATTCCAAGGAGTTTCCAGAATTGGAGGTTATAGGCACAGGAGATGTGTCATTGAACAACAATCCTGCTACTGATACTGTGGAAGAGGAAGAATTGCTCGAAGCCGTGGCTACTGAAGATACCCTAGAAAAGCAGACTACAGAGGTTCTAAAGGGGCCTGCTCTGAAAATAAACGCTTGGCATGTAAGATGGAGTGGTCATCCAACAACAGAAGCAGCCTCTGCGGTATAAATCTAGGTCTAATCTAGGTTATTTATTAATAAGAACGGTTATTTTCGTTATTTTCGTTTTTAATGTCTCCTGCTGTTCTTTCTCCTATACATCTTCTTCTCATTTCTTATATTGTCTGGCTTTTCACAGATAGGTTTGCAGGAGCGGCTAGTCTTTGAAGCAACAGCTGGTGACAAGTGCAGCGCCAATGTAAATCTTAGCAATGATGGCTGCACAGCAATATACTATAGTTGGAAAGTAAGATGGCACATTTTTTATTGTCCTTTTATATCTATCCTTTCTCTACCTCACACACACACACACACACACACACACACACATACTGCTGATCATGGATACCTGATGTATCAGAGAATGGTTAGCAGCTAATGCATGTTAAAACCTATGCAAAATATTAGTTTGTTTACTTGACATGATTATAGAGTATGTTCAGTTGGTTTGTTTCATTGTTACTATTTTCTCTTGTTTCTCAGCGAGTCCCGAAGGAAACCTCTTTTGGAATAAAACCCAAATCCTGCATGAGCCAGTGTTTTTATTTCAACACCAGTGATGGTAATTATGATAGTGCTACATCTAAATCTTAAGTATAACATTTCAACAGTTTTTTAAGCTGGATTTACATTGACTATTTTGAGTTGCAGAATTGCCGAATTGTACGAACTTGGCAATTTGGCAACTGACAATCGGCAGTGTAAATGCAAAAGTCGGACGTCCAACCGATTGATAGCAGCGAGTTGGGAGATTAGAACATGTTATAATTTCGCCAACTCGGAGTAGGCGAGTTGGACGTTTTTTGCCAAGTGGCCAATCAGAGAACAGCAATCAGGGGTGTGTCCCTCCACCATAGGGGAGAGCACGTTTTTGCTTTAGGCGCCACGCCGGCGGCATGGAATACATGCCAAAATGCGTATCCGCGTCGCCCCACACGGACGCTATGGGTCACGCGTTGAAAGGTTTGCCGCCTCGTGGTCGATAACGTAAGAGCTTTGAACATATATAGCGAGGTTGGTAGAAAGAAGAAAAACACCAACTTGCCTGCAGAAAATCGTCAGTGTAAACCCAGCTTTATACGTGCACATTGTAAAGACTGCTCTTTTCTGGTAGAAATATGGCTGTATTGGCTGAATCTGTAAGGATGTACACTGTACAGACACTGCACCATGCTTGGGGAAAACTAGTTAGTTTAGCAACAGATAAGGAGTGATATTATAATGTATATAAAAATCTCTGCATATCCTTTCTAGATGTATAATTTGTGCGCATTCTTGCAGGCTCTATACTTCCTGGTGAGGTAATAGATATCAGTATATACTTCAAGAGCAGCTGTGCAGGCATATTCTCTGAGACGTGGGAGCTTGTCACAGTTCCAGTGCTGGGCCAGGGTGCTAGGCTACACTTTATCTTAACAGGAATCGCTACACAAGAGGATTTGTTCAAGGAGGAGCGAGACAAGATTCTGGTAAGAAGTTTTCATTTTATGGAATTATAACATTGTGTACATGTGTACAAATATGTGTGTGTATATTGTGTGCATGCTTGCAAACAAGCATGTGTTTTTCTGCATATGTTTGGTTGTATCAGTCACTCCCATTGACAGCAGTGCACAGCGAGACTGTAACATTCGTGAATCCTGCATGTGATCACTGACTCTTACTAACTGTTATTACCAGGGAGAACTGGAGCACAGGCAGGCTGTGAGAATCGCTGGCGATATGATCGACTCTATCCTGCTAAACGTGAACACTCCAGAGAGACCACAGTCACCAGCAGATGCCTACCTCACGCTCGAGGACAGGTTTAGCACACAGAACCCGAGGGTGCGCATCTCTTAGACTGCAGGCTCACACATGCATGCCTCTCATGCCTGTTATATGACCGTCGGTTTAGCTATGTAGGCGGCATGCCATGTTTGCTAACTGCGTATTTTCTGTGGGCAGTAACAATATAAAGGAAACTACTCCAGTGGCATATTTTCACTGATCCTGTGATCCATATTTTATGCCCCATCAAGAAACTGCCATCTTGAATAATAATTATTATTATTTGCCTTCGTTTTTAGTAATTGTATCCCCCGAGACGAAGTCGGCGGGGATACTATGGTTTTATGTCTGTCCAGCCGCCGCCGCCGCTGCAGACACTTTCCCTTCCGCTCTATAACTCGGCCCCTAATTGACCTAGCTTGACCAAACATGGTATACTTACACATCTTGGGGAGAAGGTGCACAGCGTACCAAAACCCTGTCACTGCAGCTTTTATTTGACCTTGACCTTGACCTTGATCATATTTTCCTTCCGCTCTATAACTCGGCCCCTAATTGACCTAGCGTGACCAAACTTGGTATACTTACACATCTTGGGGAGAAGGTGTGTCGCGTACCAAAACCAGGTCACTGCAACCTTTATTTGACATTGACCTTGACCTTTATCATATTTCCCTTCCGCTCTATAACTCGGCCCCTAATTGACCTAGCTCAAGCAAACTTTGTATACTTACACATCTTGGGGAGAAGGTGTGTCACGTACCAAAACCCATAAGGCAACCAATTTTAACATACTTGCACATCTCAGGCAGATGAGTTGTGTAACAAACCTTTGTCTTTGTGACTTATTTAACTTTACCTATTTTTTACGTCCTTACAGAGATATTTCATTCATACTAGATTACGGGGATACATGTAGTTGGCGACAACTGCCCTTTCTAGTTTTAAATGGCCATCAATATGTATTTTATTTTAATGGGAATGTGCATGATTTGATATTAGCAGAAATTTCAAGAGTTTTAAACTACTTGAAGTTGATGCAGTGTTTTTTTTATAGAAGATCATACAGTGAAGGTTTGTTTACTATAAACATCTGACATACTATACTGAAATGTACCGTACCGTACCATACTAAACATACCTTACCATACTATATAAGAACAGGTCTTCGTGATAATACATATATGCTCATAATGCATGTCAGGTGATCGTTTAGTTATGCATCATAGTGCGTCCTCATTTCATTTACAGTTGTTCTACAAGCACCAGTGTGTAGATTCCCTCAATGAGCAGTTCTTGAAGCTGGTCCCAGACAAGGCATGGGATGCTTCCCTCATGAGCTTGCGCAAGGTAACTGACTGCACACTAATACAGACTGTTTCTTAGTATTAAATTCCTGCATTGCATTGAGCTTTTTGAAATGCAAAGTTAACTTATTCCTGCCTTGCCCAGCTCCAGACCAAATCTTCCATCTAATCCTGCCACCTAATGTAGAATGCTTTAAGTCTTCACTTAAGTCTGGAGTCTTCACTTCACTTAAGTTTTCACTTAAGTCTTCACTTCGCTGAAGTCTTCACTTGTGCCTGACCATCATCTTGTTCATTGTCCAGTCTGATTATGTACAAACACCCCACACTTCCACCTGTATCGTGCATTAGCGTTAATGCATTCTCTTTGTCACCACTGCCTCATAGGTCATCATGGAGTTGGAGGATGATGAGCAGCGATCAATAGAGCTGGAGCAAATGAATAACTCCATATCGGAGCTGTGCTTCAGGGAACGTCGGCCAGTAATGGCCAGGCACCACCAGATTGCGTAACATAACATTTGCTCTCTCCAAAGAATTAAACTATTTAAAGTAGTTAGTAATTATATCAATTGTAATAATAACAAGAATTAATTAAAATGTTAATTAAAATATAAATTATGATAATACTAGTAATTTAAATCTAAATTAAAATAATAAGTATAATTAAAATAATCGATTAAGAGATAATCTTTTCAGTGGGGGTATATTCTTGGAAGGTTTTTGTTTTTGTTTTCATTGTGCCACTAGGTCTGCAGTACTGGTAAAAGAGCGTGCAATAGGGGTGAAAGAGCATACAATAGAGGTGAATGAGCATGCAATAGGGGTAAAATAGCATTCAATAGGGGTGAAAGAGCATGTAACAGAGTGAAGGGGCATATAATAGGGGTGAAAGAGCATGCAATAGGGGTGAAAGAGCATACAATAGAGGTGAATGAGCATGCAATAGGGGTAAAATAGCATTCAATAGGGGTGAAATAGCATGCAATAGGGGTGAAAGAGCATGTAACAGAGTGAAGGGGCATATAATAGGGGTGAAAGAGCATGCAATAGGGCTGAGAGAGCATACAATAGAGGTGAATGAGCATGCAACAGGGGTAAAATAGCATTCAATAGGGGTGAAATAGCATGCAATAGGGGTGAAAGAGCATGTAACAGAGTGAAGTAGCATGCAATAGGGGTGAAAGAGCATGTAACAGAGTGAAGGGGCATATAATAGGGGTGAAAGAGCATGCAATAGGGCTGAAAGATCATGCAATAAGGGTAACAAAGAAACACAACAGGGCATAGGGATGAAGGAGCATGCAATAGGGGGTGAAAAAGAGCATGCAATGTGTGAATGTGCATGAAATAGAGGTGCAATAGCATGCAATCAACAAAAACACAGGTGAACGATACGTACTACTCTGGATTCGGTTCACAATCGCATTATGGCCAGCTCTGGAAGATCGTAGAAGCTAGTCGCCATCGTCAAGGCGACGGACATCTCTAGGATCGGTAGTGGTCCCAGGCTGGCACGACAATACTAACACTGCTATGTGCGGCAGGTACCAGCTGCTGGTGGAGACCATCGATGCCATGGTGCATGACAGCTGTGAGATGCGCCGCAGCATGGGTCTGCCGGATAGAGGCCTGCCAGAGCAGGAGGCGAGTGCCACGGACATGAATGTAGCAGGTGAGGTGCACGGCTGCGCCCGGTTGCTCAAAAATCGGACAAGTCCTATACGACAGATTTTTTTTTTTTTACTTAAATGAACTCGCCTTCACTTTTTTTTTATCTCATACGTTTTACATTTTTTGAGCATTTTGTCAAGTGGATATGTATCTAACTTTAGCATTGGCTAGCTAACCAGGTATTTACCTGACGTTTGAGTAGCCTGATGCTATACTGTGGTTAGCTATTCAGCACATAAGAAACTTACACTTTGGATAGGAGATAATTTTATCCGACTTTTGAGCAACTGAGTCTCGGTGTGTATTGATGCATACTCAATAAATATCCACATACAATCAAATACATCAATAATTAGTATCTCGATAGCACTACCTCTGTGGGAGTGCAATATATTGATAGTTGTCACCAATCACTGAGCACCATGTATTGCATTGGCAGTGCAATGAATACTGCATGGAGCCCTATTTTTGTCACTATGTTAGCTGTTGTCCTCGTGAGGGCTGAGGTATCATGCAATGTGTGTCGTAAGGATGAGCAGCAATCATATAAGGTGTGGTTTGTAATTGCTCTAATGCACGAACGTTGACACACTGGATAGGAGGTGGATCAGGTGCAACCATGGGAAAGGGTAAAGCAGGAAAAGTGGATAACAAGAAGGAAACAAGGAAAGGAGGCAAAGCAAAGGTATCTTCAAAGCTTCAATAGTTGTGCGGCCTGATTTTGATGCATATTTAATGAATATATCCATTATCTGGAGAGTACAAATATTCAATTAAAACGTAGATTTTATCCCCCAAACCACTAATTATTATAACGTAAATTTTAAAATAATAAAACCTGTTTTCGTTTATGTTTAGTATATTTAGTTTATATACATGATGAAACTAATGCCAATAATAATACTTGATAATGGCACTAATCTAATATTTGCAATCAAAAACTTATTACCTGTAAAGATTGAACCTGCTAAGCCCAAGTCTGCACCAGCCACTAAGAAGGGGACACCACCTGCACAGGCTCCTCCAGTGAAAGTGCCACTTGTGCTCACTGATGGAAAGCTGGACCAGGAACTGGGCAGCCAGGAGAGGATCATTCTAGATCCAGTTCTTGAAGAGAATTACCGAGAGAGGATCCATATTCAGGTGGGTTGTCTCTATGAGGGAATTCATAGAGATGTTTAGGGAGCAAGTTGTATCTGGAATCCTATAGGTGTAAGGGGAATCTGACACGAATGTATGGAGCTCAACATATAACTATGGAGTCATGCCTATATTTAGCAAATCTTACAGTTGGTTTAGGTGTACAAATGTACACGGATTCCTACATTTTCCAAAGCAATTCTTGTGGCTGATGTAGATAATGTTGCATAGGCCTATATGATCCTAGAGGTGAGAGGGGATTCAGTCAAACCTGTACATGAGGGTCACTTCAGGTCAACCCAAAGTGCCCTTTATCGACAGGTGTCCGTTTTATAGAGGCAGTTTCACTATGTGAACTACAAATGAAGGCAACCCCCCTAAGTTTTCTTTTTGTAGATAGGTGTCGATTCAGTAGAGGTATCCGTTAACAAGGGTTGACTGTATATAATGGTTAGCATATATGTGTTTCCCGTTTCAGACATATCATCTGATTAGTTCCATGTTCGACAAGCTTACTCTTCTGCTTGATGATGGCTTCACAAGTGTTAGAGCATAACTGTCACCGCAAGTGAGAGGATGTCTTTCTAACCTGTGAGTGATCTGCCACCTTATATATAATCCACGAAGAAGGCCTTACAACTTCGTAAACATACTGCACTGTACATATATATGTGTGTGCATTTATAGAAGGCATCTTTAATCCATATCAGCTGTCAATTTGCACATTTGTTACTAAAGGAGTTCTAATAATTCCTGCATTCCAGGCATCACAAGCCTTTCGAAAACGTCTCATTTCCCATCAGTCATTGTACAATAAAATCTTATTGCAAACCAGTTACTGCTTTCAAACGTTTTGAACACCTGTAAAAATGCATGCAACTAAATAACAAAATAACCAACAAGTGTACAATCTGCTATCCAAGACTCTTCACGGCAGCATAATATTTCCATGCAATGATCAATTGATTAATATGCAAATTCAACTTGTGCACTCCTAGCAAAGGTAACAAACTCTCTGTCCTCAAAAACATGCCAGTTTAGCACAAAAAAACAACCTCGTGACTCTCCCCACCCTAGTTTGAGAAGCACCGCTATAATCTATGACAACATATGTATATATCTATGGGCACGTTATAGGAAAGTAAAGATCACGGGGTAGTTATAATAATTAAAATATGCCATTGAGACAGACATGTTTCATATCAAACTATTCGTGAGTATGTGCTCTTACATTATAAGACAGTACATCAACAAGTTTCTGATCGTGATAGAAAACGCTTTATTTTTTGCCAATGTTAATGGACATAACTGAAAGCAGTACGTTGACAAGCATAATCGTACATCAGCATCAACCTACTAGTAATTTTATACAGAAGTATATAGAACACAGCTGCCACGTGTTATAATCTCATGGTGATGGGCATGAAGGCACTAGCATGAGTGCGGAACCATTTCCCAACCGCAGCAAAACGTGACTAGATCGCGTGTTTTTTTTTAACTGGAGAAAAAACATCAGCATATTTATTATTCACAACACACCTTTCGCTTGCTCTCCTACACCAACTACTCGTTGAAAGATGGAAGGTGAAAGGGCAGGCGACGTTACGATTTAAAACGTGCATAGAACCCACGTCGGAAAACAGGACGTCGAAATCACACAATCAAAACGCTCCCTGGTAGCCAGCCAGCAGAGGCAGACTTCAATGAGATTCCCACCTTAGTCCTCTCGCACGCAATAACATTGCAAATAGAAACGAAACGCGTCCCTGATCAGTGAAGAGCAAAGGCAACTGCCGCACATTTCACAAGCACCTAATCGCGTGTCCACTGACGACTGCAACTTTATGGAACATGCCAAAATCCCACAGTACATATCCAAATGATAAAACATCGGGGGGAGGGGGGCAAGTCTGAGAACTACCTATACAAAAATATCAACCCTAGGCAAGCATTCGGACGCGCGGCAACAGCGTCAAAAAGACGCCGGCACAGCTCACTGCTAAAAACCACAGACAGCCGCGTACACGTCCTCTACCGAGATAGCAGTCAGCTCAGCTCTACCACTCACTATTAGTATAAGGCACAACCCGGTGAGGACATGCAGCTCACTATGAGCACACTCACGTGGAGCTTCTGAACGCACAGTATTTCTCGCAGCAGGAAGCCGTGCTGCGCAGCACGCACCCGGCCTGACCTGCATCGCACCGAGCAAAGATAAAACTACACACGTATTTAATTTAGCGGAATTATTTACAAACGTACAAACGCTACCTTGTGCGGTACGATTAATCGCTGCCACTCCATCCTGTTAAGACGAGCGTGGCCATTCCCAACAACTATACACACCTCTTTTGCAATATTACTCTATTATATTACATTATGTTACGTCAATCGCAACAAATTAGTATCGGTTTGCGCAATAATATAACTCACAAATCGTATCATTCTCTGCTACAAAATGCTACGATGTCAGACTATTCACTATTGGTAATATGAAACTAATAATAAAGGTAAGTATAATCCGAAAACTAAATGAAAATATTTCATAGGGGTGCAGATATCCCTTTGCTAGGCAATGCTAGACTATAGGTAACCATGGATATAAATTCTTCCCCAACACATACTGGATGGTCGGCATTCTTTGTAAAGAGTGCAGACTTCGGCCTGTTAGCAGTCCTGTTAGGGCAGCCAGGGCGAATGTTGCACTGAAGTAATAATGCGCTATAATACAATGCATAGTGTTATACATACCATCATGAACATACGCATACAATTATATACACTGTACAGATATGTTCACGACATCACTGATTAGTCATATATATATATAGCACAACTATTAGGCTGGTGTCTAACAGCGCTACCTAGTGGCAAAGAGTTCGCCCTTTACTCGATATAAATGGTGTATGTGAAGGCTACGGTGTCAACGTGAGTTATGTATGTTAGCAGCAGTGACTTTACAGACAACAGTAAGCAAACTTCATTACTTATTTCTATGGTCTTATTTCTATGGTATCAGAAGTAAATTCTGGTATAAAAACAACAGATGCGAATTCCACTGTGTGCTGTTTCTTGCCATCTTCTCTTTACATTCTACGGTACTGACAACTGCAGATGTTAATATAGCAGATCATTCTGATCTCTGAACGCCACCTACTAGTCGTCTGTTATGTTTTAAACAGTGTGAAGACAGGAATTTCTCTATCTATGACATTCTACCCTGAACAGAACGATATGACACAATACATGACTATAATGCAAGCTGTTCTAATAGTAATAAATTAGCTATCAAAACAGTTTAGCTTAGCTTGGTTTTTAGCTGTGTATGGATTTACACGTGACCAGACCACACAGCAACATTTACACACACGCACATTATGCACTAACGTGTAATTACATGGTTTCAATACGTGGCTATACATTAATGTTCAAAAAAGCATGGGTTACACTCCAGTTACACAAAGCAGATTCCTATAAGCACAGTCACTGTCTAAATCATGGGATGGAATCTGCTAGGATGAATTGAGCCACAGAGTTCTTTCATAAGAGAAAAGCAGATTCCTTGCCTTCACGCATACTATCAAGAGCTAATAACCACCTAGAGTGTACAACGGAAAAACGGGAAAATAGTGCTATTTCACGGCAATATTATTCTACTTTGCCTGCGAGTCTAGAATAATTTCATGGTATTGCATTAAGCAGAATTCTTTGCTTTCCAAAACAAGACCAACCGCTTGTCAATACGATACTCCTAGGCTGAAATATTGGCTCGCAAACTTCCCCTCCCACAGGCCTCATGGCACCTCGCATCCACAATATTCACTATCCTTCTCGCCTTTTGCGGGTTAGGAAAGTCGCTTCGTGAGAGTTCGGTTTTTTCCGCGATAACTTTATGAATGAACGGCGTTTCGGTTATCCTCGGTGACTTTCGGGGGCATCGCCTATGCCCTTATCTCCCATTATCTTTCCTAGCACGGCTAATGCCCCTCATGATGGAGCCGGCAATGTTTTTTAAATTAAGTCTGTACAACGCAGCTCAGTTACTATATGGTGTAGCAAGAGTACCAAATTTGGGCATGTGACATCAATTATCAGCGCTCCAAGCGACGACGGAAAACGATAGCCAGACCCGCAAAAGGCGAGAAGGATAGTGAATATTGTGGATGCGAGACAGCGTGAGGCCTGTGGGAAGCATGATTACGCTCCAATATCTCGGCCTAGGAGTATCGTAGAGACAAGCGGTTGGTCTTATTTTAGAGAGCAAAGAATGCTGCTTAACGCAATACCATGAACTTAGTCTAGAACCGCATACATAGTAGAATAATATTGCCGTGAAATAGCACTATTTTCCCGTTTTCCCTTTGTACACTCTAGGTATTTATTAGCTCTTGATACTATCACTATCCACTGAAACACAAACCTTCACCAATCATTAGCACTACAGGCGTGCGTTCCAGTATGTTGTATGTGTGGACCTATATATGTCCATGTAGGCTCTCACACACATATACCCCTCCAGGTTAACGATACAAAGTCTACATGTGAAGTAAGCGGATAAATGGGCCCTGCAGCACCAGTATCCAGCCCGGCAGGGACCAAATCCTTTATGGCAGATCCTTATGCAGAGTAGTTTTCACCTGTGGCCACTCACTACAGCGATGAGGCAACCACCAGGCGTCTCTTGCGATGCGAGCTAGCTGCATTTCTTTTGGTGAATTCTGTGCGGCAGACGTGTGCTTATCCAACCAGCTGCCTTTCCACAAGGTGTGCCTACACAGAAGGAGGGTCCTCACCAGCAGTGACATCACAGATAGTAGTGGACGCAATACGGCTGACTGTTCATACTCTAGTTACGACGTAAGCATTGACAGGAATCTTTGCTCATCTGAATCCAGCCCCGTTTTTAGAGTTCGTCGTACTGAAAAAACATGAATAAGGTTAGTTAGTAAACACGCATATATATATATATATATATATATATATATATATAAAAACACCACGTTTGCACTCACCTCTACAGAATGAACATCTGTCTATTCAGAACAATTCTGGCATTCCCTTTAAGTGGCAGTAAGCACCTCTATAGCATGCATACATGTCTCTAATAGATATCTCTGGAGTGACCCTTACATACAGATTTTACCATATATACAAGAATGCATTGCAATCTGAAGATTGCAGACGTTATACCAACAGCAACAGACTATATTAGGAAGTGCATTTACACAGATAGCAGATTACATACATGACTTCCTGTTCACTTGTCGCGCACGTTCGCGCTTGCGTGGAGTGGAACGTGTAGAGGGCGCTGTTGCTGATTTTACAAGTGATTCCAAAATTTCGTCGTCGCCGTCGACGTCTGTCAGGACAGCATCATCACGTGGAAGCGTTCCTCGTGCTGGTGTGCGAACATGTGAAACATATTACAATGATTGCCATTCGGTAATTTCAATAATCAGTAATAATTTCACAAGTAGGAATTAACTTTATAGGATAGTTAATAACGAGAGCGAGAGAGAGAGAGAGCGAGAGCGAGAGAGAGAGACAGACAGAGACAGAGAGAGAGAGAGAGAGAAGAGAGACGAGTGAGAGAGAGAGAGAGAGAGAGAGAGAGAGAGAGAGAGAGAGAGAGAGAGAGAGAGAGAGAGAGAGAGAGAGAGAGAGAGAGAGAGAGAGAGAGAGAGAGAGAGAGAGAGAGAGAGATGAGAGAGAAGAGAGGAGAGAGGAGCAGAGAGAGAGAGAGAGAGAGAGAGAGAGAGAGAGAGAGAGAGAGAGAGAGAGAGAGATTGCTTCTAACAGGTGAGCCTACGTACGTTGACGCGTCCGTTGCCGTTGTCGAGTTGAATCTATGTCTGATCCGTAGTCTTTAGTAAGAAGCTCCTTCAGCTTAACATCGTCGACCTTCTGCAGCTCATGTGGCTGCTGACTCTTGCCCTTGAAATTGTCCGTCTGCACGAAAATGATAAAGCTTTGTTAGTTACGGTCATAACTGCGAAGATTCATATGTTACGGATGTGAACATATAAATATACATAATCTACACACTTACACAGAGCAGTATTGGTGAGTGTACTACTACATGTACTATGCCTGACAAAAATTTAAAATATCAAAACGTGATTCCATAACCAAACTAGAAAGGAGCTTTAATTGGTTATCTGAAAATAACCATGATTGAAATTGCATGCAATTTCTTTTCCATTTATCTTGTAGTAACATAAATCATCAACTGTTAATACTTTCAACATTACTTCTTTGTGACTATAGTCTGTGTCATAAATTTAGACGATTTTCAAGTGGCAAGATCAATAAGATTAGGATAGATTGCTGAAACAGTGAAAGGTAAAATCAAAAGTTGCCACTGAAATGTTAACTGTGGTACATGAATTAACGAATCAAAACATGCAGAATTCTGAATAGCTGTGACCCATCGGTTGTTGAAGCGATGAACAGTTTTAGATGAAGAAAGACAGAATTGAAGTATAATAAGTATATATCATAACATTATGAATCTAATAACACTAACATTACCTCTACTAAGGACCCCATCGGTATATAGATGTTATTAATCCCTCACTCCTATTCGAAATAGCTAACTAGCACATACACACCTCAGTGATCAGCTTGCCACGAGTAAGTTTCCTCTCCTTATAAGCCTTCTTCTTGTGTTGCTGCTCTATAACTCGCTCTCGTGTCGTCCGGTACTCGAGTGCAAACTCACTGATCACTTTGCAGAAATTGTTAATCTTCGTGTCCTTGCCGATGGCAATCGGAAGACCCATCCACAACAGCAGCTTGTAATACCTGAAATAAGTTGTGTGACAGTGATAATGATAAGTGAAATAACACTAGATACTAAATTGATAAATATATAACTAATAATAAAAGTAATAAATCATTGTTTTACTCCTAATGTAGGATTTTCAATGTATTATGTTACTCCTGATAATAGTAGACTTGTTATTGGGGCAAAATAGAAGGTCAAATGTAATAAATTTCTCCAAATTTGAATGTGTGGTAGCCATTAACTAATCAGATATCGAATACCCCTCTCAGATATTTGATATCCCACGTACAGTCATAACTACTGGTGATTTTATTTAGCACGCGAACCAATGAGGACCGTGTGTTTTCAGGGATTTCCTACCGGTTGATAACTCTCCTGTGGACAATCTTCAGCACCATGATTCTCTCTGCGCAGTCTGTTAGGAACTCTGTCATTCTGCAAAATACACAACATATATTCTTCTGTACAAATCATACAGTGTTTGTCACTGACTTTGAGTGTCTGCAGCATGCAACCAATTATAGATCAATACGCCATTTACATGCATAGGCAATAGTTAGTTTCAATCAGAATAAAGTAGGTTTACTATGGGGGAAGGGGGGTGATTAGTTCGCAATCACTCTCCCTGCATTTTGCATGCATATATGTTACAATTATAATATAATATTGTAAAAGGCTACGGTGCTTCCTAGCTTTCTATCATAACCTAGGTGAATTGATGTGCTTGATAACAGATGCTCCTCACCCTAATCCAGGCCTTTTCAGCGCAAAACAAATCAATAAGTATTTCACAGTCTGCTCATATTCTTTATCATCCATCCAAATACCAATTATCAGTGACATGAGTCGGTTATATCTCGGTTGCAAATGTATATGTGTGTATATGAATATGTTATATATAATACATCAAATTCTAAAAGATATAAGCCATCAAAAATTATACTTGCATAATTCACGAATGACCACCACACATGTATATCACATAGCCAGTTACACATCACGGATATAAAATAGCCACAATAGCTCTCAATTATCCACACACCCACACCGCCATGCTCTCTTACTTTGCTTTCATCTGTGAGTTGCCAACTTCGTGCTTCGCAATCGCTCGCAAATGATCCCACGATGCTTTGCAGTCGTGCTCCATTTTCCCCAGATTAGAAGATAACTCCTCATAATCAACCTATATATTAATAAGCATGTATAGTGATATACTGATTTATTGATTACTTTGTGTGTATGTACAAATAAATGAATTAATGACCTCATCTAGGAAAAGGTGTACATAGTATAGTGGTAGACTTTTGTTAAGATGTCAGTCACGCTAGTCTATCAAGTGGTGAAAAAGTGCTGCAGAAATACCTACAGCCCCTACAGAGAAATTTCACCAAAATGACCTCGGGTGGTGATCGAGTCAGCTTTCTACCTACCTTGGCACATCTAGAAATCGGGCCCAGTTCAGAGTAGAGATCGCTGGTGTCCGGATAGCGCTCAATGATCATGCTGCACATGTGATAGAGCAGCGACTGCTTGTGAACTGTGTCCTTCACTTCTGGCACTTTCGACAGATACTCCAGCTGGAAGCCACGTTGCTGCAAAGTAATACGCCGGTGAGTTTACGTCGTTGTTAGACGAGCTAGCATTATACCACACTCCGCGCCATCCTTCTAGTTGCACAATCATGTAGCAAAAAGAAACTGAGTCATGTAGAGGTCTGGTTACCATTTTTTCCAGTATTTATTATTACCTTTTATTTTATTCGTGGACTTATGTGGTATAAGCTACATTCAGGTAGCAGCTAGTACAATCTCTCCTAGTCAGTGAATAAAAATGTTTGGAGATGATGACAGTAAAGAGGAGAGATGCTGCATGCAGTCCCTCGAGAAAATAGGTGAGAAAAGGCAAGAGATCATACGTACGAATGAGCCATTAAGGAAGTTTCCAATGGCAAGCAAAGCAGAGAGAATCACTTTAAGGGTCCTGTTGCGGTGTAGCTGATCTATGCCATCCTTGAGATCCATCAGTGGCTCTGCCACCTCCTGTAACATTCACATATGTAAATAAATGATGGCCACCCACCAGAAGAGAGGTTTAATTCTAGCTACTAAAAAGTGAGGGAGACTAGCACAATTAACATCTCTTGCCAACTAGCTTGGAAAATGTTGCAATGCTCAAAATTAAACTCATGTTAAATAGACATATTTGTACATTTAACTCATGGAACCAGCATGAACAGTAAATGGCATAGCCACTTACTTGCCAGTATACATGCAATAATGATAATAATAATAATAATAATAATAATAATAATAACGCTTGCCTGCTCCATGTTCTCATAGTCGAGTTTGAAGAGCCACAAGCGCAGGCGCGCCTCAAGCTCGTTGATGGACGCCATGACGAGCACAAACTGCTCAGCTGACCCTAGCGGAATCTCCGGGTTTGCGACCTGAGCCTCGAGTATCTTGTTCTTCTCCTCCGGTGTCGGCATCATCGTCGTGAGAATTTTCTGTCGAATATTGTATTTCTGTTATTAGTACAGTTATTTAATTTATTAGTACAGTTTATATTTTTTATATACATACACATATATAACACATATATACATATTATAACTGATTTATCTAAAATATTTAATCTCTAATATCTAAATAATTAATTATGAATAATAATTATATATATATATGATATAATTAGGCGCTAATCATTTTACAAGATTGCACATTAGATACTTGTAAGACATTAACATCTGACAGTAGTATATTATAATTACTATTATTGGCTATTACTATTTTTAATATCTTCAACTATCCCAGTTTATTAATGTTGCTATGATTATTGGTATGATTTGAATTACAACTTTGACCGAATTTCACCCGAAACTCGGCAATAAAATGTTTGTAAAACTGTCGGGGAAATGGTGCAGCATCTCTTACATCAATGCCGTCCTTGTTGATGATGGAGGAGTCCATCTTGAGAACAGCGGTTTTGATTGCTCGAGGTGGAGGTAGCTTGGTCATACCAATGTTGATCACGTTCGAGCGTTTGGAATCAAGCACCGTTAACACCTTGGTCTTCGCCGATTGTTCTTGTTTCTGTACGTACCGCAAATAGAATGTTCTAACCCAATGGCGGCAGGCATGTTGATGTGGGGTTGATGAGTGGGGACGTGCACATCTAGTAGTGTATATCAATTATACTCTCTTAAATTAGTTGATTAAGTTTAGATTAGTTAAAAAAGTTAACATTAGATTGGGCATACGTTTGTTATGTTATGTTTAGAGCCAGGACAGATGCCAGAGTAATATATTAAAAGAGTACCATATTAAAATCGCTACTAGTACAAAACCATGTGTATATTGACTCATAAATTATAACGTTCACGTATACACTCTTGACGGTTAAAAGAAACAGCTAGCACCATCACAGACACATGCACAATTTTCTGTTCAAAATATGGCAAATCCCAAAAAACCTAATCCAATGCCAGAATTTTTTTTCAATGTATCATATACTTTCTAACACAACCCTTTAAATACTGAAGAGTGAAAAAAGAAAGAAGAGAGAGATAATTAAGGCGATAAAGAGACAAAAAGAAGTTATTTCTTGCGGGTCCTTACCTCCTGCCGTTACCAAGACGATAGTCAGTCATGCGAGAGAGACACATTCAAGTGAAGTAGTTAGTGATGTCAATCATCATGCAAAGAGACAATTGAGCCACGAGTTAAATTCACGAATAATTTGAGCAAATCGTGTTCGAAGCGCGATCAACGGATCACGCTCCGTCACACGACGCCCAGTAATATGTCCTCCATGGTGGCTTGACGTGTGCACCATCATCACCATCTTCTGCAGATGCAACGCACGTTGTTTAACTATCATGATTAATCACGACTGTTAATCAACTAATGTCATATCGAAACCTGGAATATCCGATGCAAGAAATTCCGATGCCAGACACTGTCCAAGTGAAAAAGTCGCAACCACGTGTTAATGAATGCATTCCACTGAGTGTTAAACTACAATTATATTATCCGAAAACGCCACATATATAACATTATTCTGGTATTGTTTGCAAAGATCATCATTTATCTTTAATATTATTTTGCACCTCCTTATATAATCATATCCTACTCATTATATAATCACCTATTACACATTAGGATTCCCACCCATATTACCTGGTAAAAGTTGTTGTTACTATATAAATGATTCAAATACAAACTATCTAACCTGGAACGTGGGAGGTATATTAGCTTCAACAAAAAATGTAGGCTATACTAGTGATCATTACATGAAACAAAGAAATATACATGACACAGCTGATGAAGTTCACGTAACGTACATGTACTGACTGACATGTATAATTGCCAATTTTGTGTAATAAATTCTAGTTACGATAATGATAAAATGTATTTTGTGTGATAGAATTAGATGAGCCTAATTGACTGGTGGTATGGTGGAAACAAAACACTAGGTAGCTATTAAATAAATTACAAAGAAACCCAGTATATTCGCAAATAAAATTAAAATTGTTGGAAGTAAAATAAAAATGAACAAAAAATTATAGCAGTGTATGTTTAATGTGTAAATGTGATCATGTTGAAATGCAAAATAATATTTCAAATTTATGTTAAAGTAATGGTTTGCATGCGATAACTAACTCTACACATGCGTGGTAGTGTAAAAGCATACATTTGGTGGGTGAAACAAGTCACAATTACAGTTAGAAGGGCGAATTAAAAAAAGCCTTCTATGATTGTACGGTGAACAGACAAAACGCTGACACGTGCAACTGTGTTCGTGTTTTTAATGTATACATTATTATTGTAATAAGTGACCCAGAGCTGTGACCCACAACCACTGATGACCACAGAGGCCACTGATGACCATAGAAGCCACTGATCAAGACCCACGTGACTGTGCGCTCACATCATTTTCACACAAATGATGACAAATGAACACCAAGTGATTCATGAGTGGCTCTCCCCAAAATATTTGAGATCATCATGCTACCCGTGTATCTCAGACGTTTTAGGCCATTTCTATTCGAGTCACCTCTTCCCTCAGGTAATCTACCTTGTGTCCATTAGTGTTTAATTTTTTACAATTTATATTCACTATAATTTCATATATTATCTCCACTGTTTAAACACAAATTTTTAATAACTACTGCTTTTAACTTTAGTATTAACTTTAGAAATTTAGTATTAATTACAAACTAATTCCTTAGTTGTTAACTGTTAATTACCTCCACCCAACGGAGTTGGAGGAGGTTATGTTTTCGCTCTCGTGTGTTTGTGTGTTAGTGTGTTCGTACGATCGATATTAGCGCGTCGAGTCGTATGGCGTATGTCGTTGGCGGTCGATCGATATCACCCAGCGAGCCAGCAAGTCAGCAAGCCAACGAGCCCAGCGAGCCAGCTCGTAACACATACATGTTACATGGGAGCGTGTACATGTCAGTTCGCTGGCGTATATCGTCGGTTATTCGTGTGTTCGTGAGTCGTATGGCGTATGGCGTATGGCGTATGTCGCTGGCGGAGGTATGCACTCCGTGAGTGCACTCTGTCTAGTTAACTAATGTTATTACTTCAGAATTTTACCTTTGACAGGATGTCCTTGCTTCGATTCTCGAACAGGTGCTCGAGTTTCTCCATGTCCACCTCGATCGGACTGAGATCGTTCCAGATCATCATGTCTTCCTTCGCCATCCAGTCCATCATACGGACGTCCTTCCAGAACAACTTGATCGTCTTCACCGACTTCTGCGGGACGGCGTAACTGCCCGGCGCTCCCGGAGGAGGCGGGGGCATGCCGGGGGGAGGCGGGGGAGGAGGGCCAGCTCCGGGGGGAGGGGGCGGAAGCGGGGGCCCGGCACGCGCGGCGGCGGCGGCGGCGGGCATGAACGGGTTTGCGTCGTCGAGCTCGATGAGGTCGGTGAAGTCAAGGTCGTTGATGCGCAGCGACCGGCTCAGCCGCATCATCAGCATGTCCCACTGCAGCTCGGCCTCCGTCTTCTTCTTCTCGGGCGTCGCCGGCTTCTCCAGCGCACGCGCCTCCAGGCTCGCCGCGAGGCCGCCTTTCGCCTTTGCGATGAGACCCGACACGTCGCCCGAGCGCGCGGCGCCGGGCGACAGTGGCGCCCCCGCAGCGCCGAGCTTCAGCTTGTCAGCGAGGCCCTTGATGCCGATGCCGCCGGCGGATTTCGCCTTCTCGACGTCGATCGTCTCGAGGTAGTGCTTGATGACGCCGTCGTCGTCGCCAGAGGGCGTGCGCGGCTCGCCGGCGATCGGCACGGGCTTGCGGCGCCGTTCGGGCGACTCAGTGTCGTCGTCCAATTCCTCGTCGTCTTGGCCTGCGAGCAGCCGGTGAGAGATCTATCATGCTATCGACACCGACTCATGCGCAAACTAGTGGGAAGATGGGGGAGGGAAGAGGGAGAATAATGAGGGAGGGAAGGGACTAAGGAGGAACTATAAGAGTCATAAGGGTATAAGGTCTATAAGGGTCACTGCAGGGAAGTGCTGTAATTGCTCTGCATAGACAGGTGTCAAATTTAGAAGAATGTTCGCAGGTTTGACTGTGCATCCTGTTTGGAAAGTACTGTTAGTAGCTAGGTCGCTTGGAAGTTGTATTAGCTAACAGTGGCAAAACACAGGTAGCAGAAATCTCTTCACCAGTTTAGTTAAATCCTTCCTGCGCCTATATGGCACATAGGGCTGTGCCTATCTCCGTTTCAGTAACCCTGAGGCCCCGCAGCTGCTTTCACAGTAAATGCTACAGTAGGGGGTTAGTCCACTGGTAGCACTGTGAGTTAACTTGCCACACTCTATCTCTATTTACTGAATGCTAAGAGAGAATCATTCTTCACCAGACAATCTGCATAAAGCCAGATTTACACTTAGTCTACTGACAAGTTTGTCATGTGACTGGCAAAAGTAAAAGACGAATGTTTTGTGCAGGTTCTTTTGCACTCACCTGTGTCCGCACATATATGCAGATATTTAAAGTTGATAGAACTCAAATGCCTTCCCCCACAGCAGCCCCAAATGTGATTTTCTGCACTTTTGAGGGAGAATTTCACGTGACCATTATTAGAATGTAAGCGTTCGTCAGACGTCGATGTTGTATCATGCGACGATGCTGAGAGCTGGGTCTTACTTTTGCTGCCGTACATCAGCGCGAGCCCGAGCGCCTGACGCTGGCACGCTCCCGGCGTCTGTGGCTCCTGATTCTCCTTGTTATGTCGAGCTTCCCGCTGCGCATGCTCGTCGTCTTCCCCCTCCTCCGCCTCCTCCTTCACAGTGTGCCGCGAACGCAACCTGTCCTCTGCACAACAACACATCGGCATTAACACCTGATCTTCATCGGTATCATCATCTGATATCCATTGGTTTTAACAACTTTTACGACACAAAAAATTGTGTAAATAATTTTAATAAATAGTACGTAATGCTGTAGTGAAATATGACACCAGGGAGAACTTTTAGAAAATAGTAACTCGTTGAATATTTTTAGAAAATGCTAAATTATTGCAACAAAAATTATTAAAATTGTATCAAATTTAAACCTTATCATCTCATGGATCAGCATTTATACATTGGTTACACTTCGTTTTTGTGGAACAATGATGCAAAAAGAAACCACTAACACAAACTATCCGCCAAAACCGTAGAACAAGTTAGATCCTCAGTTTGATCATAGCTAATATCTAACCAAGTTGTCACATCACCCGTTAGCATGTAGGCGAATGCAGTGTACTTGCTACACACGGTAATCAAAGATAAGTGAGTAAAGCCATGCAGACAGCGCAGGCATGCATGTTATACCTATTTGCTCCACCTTACTTGCAAAGGCCTCTGTACACTTAGGAAACTTGTTGTTCGCCACGCTCCGTATCACGGTTACGCGCGGCTGGCTAATGCTGCCACCTGGCGACACCGACCTTTCGTCCGACGGGGCGGGGGCGGGAGCGGAGTCGGGAGAGACGGGGCAGTCGTCTCTCCGCAACTCGGTTAGTGCGGGCACGGCTGTTAGTCCTCCTCCGCCCCCCTCACCAGCACCCTCGCTGCACGACTCGGTTAGTGTTGCACCGGTTAGTGTCAGGGACTGGTCGTTAGTGGGCGCGGGCGCTGCGGCGGCGGCGGCGACGCCCGGGGTGGCGCCACCGTCGTCTCGCGCGTCGTTACTTGGCGTGTACGCACTCAGCACGGGGGTTTCCCGCACGCGGTGACTCGGCACAAAGTAAAACTTGAGCGACGCGTCCTCGTCCTCATCCTCGTCGTCGGCGGCCGAATCCCGGCCACCGGAATCCCTTCCGCCAGAGTCCCTGCCGCTGGAATCCGTGTCCGGCTTCCGAATTCCGTTCTCCGTCCAGCTGTTCTGACGGGTATCCACCTCTTCGGTTAGCGGGAGACGACCGTTGATGGTGACGCCCCCTGGCGAGGAGGGCGGCTCGTCGCCGGTCGCGTTTAACTTTTCGAATGAGCGCGATAGTTCCTGCTGCCGTATCAGTGACCGCTGGCGATCGATGCGTGACCGGCGGCGCTCCCTGGCGGACAAATCGCCCACGTCCGGCGTGTCCCTCGGGGCGGCGACCGCCGTCGCCCCAGCCTTCCACGAGAGGGCGCCGCCGTCGCGCGCGTTCCACTCGAGTTTTGCGTACGCGATCGTCTCGGTCTTCACGTGGAAGCTCGTCGCGACGCCGTTACGATTCTTCCAGTTGTTCTCGTCGACCGACTCCGCCTCCTTCTGCGGACCCCTCCTCCAGGGAGGCGCCCAGGTCGGCTTTCTCTCTGCGCTGTCGCCGCGGTTACTTGCGTTGCTACGCTGCGCGTCGGCGTCGGCGTGCGCCGCATCCCCGGCACACCCACTCCCGTTACGGCTCGGAGCGGCGGCATCTTTGTTGTCGTCGCGTCCTGATTCCCGTTGCTTCGGCGACCGCCACGGCGTGCTCGACCCCTCGTATCGGCCGTGCACCGCTGGCCTCGCCGTCCAGGTGACGCCACCGTTGACCTGCGCATTTGTGCGAGCGCTGCGAGGGCTGGCGGGACGCGCGGGGTCGGTGACGGGCGACCTGGAATCGGACGCCGGGGTCGCGACCTCCAGGACGTTCGCACGGAGTCTCCGCCTCCAGTCGGCCGGCGCGTCGTCGCCGGCAGCCGTTCGCTTGTCGTGCGCAGCAGCGACACCTGGTGTCTGCCCGCGCGCGCCACGGTTCCAGCGACTGATGAAGGGGCTTCTCTCAGATCCGTTCTGCCACCTGCTAATCTCGTCCTCCTTCTCGCTGCCCTCTTTTCCGAATCTGTATCGGCTGCCACCAGATGGGAGGTTGCCGTTTCGAGCATCCAAGTCAGCTGGATGGCCGTTACTGTCGATACGATTGGAATACGGGTTCACATCACCGTTCATGTGAACATCCGAACTCTGACCATTCAAGTTAACGTCTTCGTTCCGCGAGTTCGTCACGCCGTTTGTATGAATGTCCGAACTCGTTCGAACGTCTGGACTCTGTGAGTTCACTCCGCGGTTCGTTCGAACGTCTGGACTCTGTGAGTTCACTCCGCCGTTCGTTCGAACGTCTGGTCTCGGTGAGTTCACTCCGCCGTTCGTTCGAACGTCTGGTCTCGGTGAGTTCACTCCGCCGTTCGTTCGAACGTCTGGTCTCGGTGAGTTCACTCTGCTGCCCATGTGAACATCTTGATATCTACCACGTGAGTTTGCCACCTCGTTCACACGACTTGCGCCATCTACCCTGATCAGCTCCCTCACTCGACTCGTGTTGCTATTGTTTGCTGTTTCCGTCTGCGGAGGGGTACTGCGCATGTAAACGGGGGTGTAACGGCTGCGTCCACCGCCGTGTCGCAGCAACGACACCGGCTCGTCGCCGCCATTGCAAGACTTGTCGTCACCGTGGCCGCGCCGCGACACGCTAGCCAGCGAGGAGCGCGATGAACAATCTTCCTGCTTATCATCAGTACATGCACGGCCGTTAACTGCAAAAACACATCCACAGCATGCGAAAAACACTCGGCCATGCTGCTCAGCCAGATCACGATCACTGTTAGTTGAGTATGTGCGTTTGCTTGACTTGTATAATATAATATAATATAATATAACTAGTTAGTGTAATATAGTTCAGGCTGTTAGTATGTTCTACTATTTTTACTAGTATAACGTGGATGTCATGTTAGATCAGCACCACACACAGCACAAATGGCAAACACATCCTAAATTTTAAATTCCTGAAAACCACTATAAAAGAATCAAAACGCTAAACTCACAATCAGACACGGCAATTCGGACATGCAGTCAGCTCTAGTCACGCAAGCCCACCAGACACACAGCTGCATGTTATATGCTAATAATACATCGTGAAAAATGCTGCACGAAAAAGACTGCAAATATAGTCCCGGCAGTATTCTGCACGCAAATAATAGCATATAGCATATGTGTGTATGTGTGTGGTGTGCTTAAAAACTGTTTTACTCAAAACTGCAGCACAAATCATCACACGGTTTAAATCCATGCACTATATCATTGAATTGCCATTGAAAGCTACGAGTAGGTAATGATGCCTACCTGACGTTCCATTCATAATGGCTCTATTATGATGGCCACCGCCACTGCTATCTGACTCCGACCCACTCCTGTACCTACAGGGCAAACACGTACATACACGATGAACCCAAGGGAATGCAAACATTATACAAAGGAAATCATTCGAGTAAGTGTAGCAAATGCCATGCCCTAAAATCAGTAGCAATAATAAATGCAGTAATAATGAACAGACATTAATAAGATGCTTGCTGTATCCTAACAATACTCAAGATGTATTTTACTCAAAATTACCTATCACAATTAATTTACGTTTACTTTCTGTTATCGCTGTTATATATATATTTAATATATTTTATACATATATTTAATCATTATTACTTATTAATGATTATCAATATTAGTTTACATTTAGTTACTATTAGATAATAAAGTAATTAATTACCTGGCCTTCCTATTTTCGGGGAGGCTGGGCATAGCATCCCGTTGCCCCGGTGACGCATCTCTGGGTACTGTGCCGGTAGAGTGTCTCTTGCTCTTCCTGCGTTCGACCGTGCTGTCATCATATGGACCGGACTTACGGCTTCGTGGAGTTGTCCTACAAAGCAACCAAGTCTCAGTGAGAGAATATGTTTTAAAAATCACGCGTGGGAACTCCATGGATAATATAAAAACATCACTTGTGTGGTTCTACCAAAAACTCTCAACCAACAGTGATTACTTTGCCCCGTTGTCTTAAACCTTTTACTCATAGACAGTATTTCATAAAGGTATGAGGAAATTTGGTAAGATTTTTTAATCTCATTAGCTATAGGATGTTTCTGTCTGCGGCCCAGGAGAAACAGTTTATATGTTAAGATTAATGTTTTAAGAGTAATTTTGTTTCCGACAAGGTGCTGGCTGACAGTGTTAAACCCCAGCAGCATCAGCATCAGCTGCACAGGCTGGCAATCCTGCCTGTTGAGTAGGTCAAGCGGGTGAATGGCCAGACAACCTGTCTGACTGACCACACACTAGACCCACCCACGCAATCACAATAGACCACCACTTGACCTGGAAGTGTTACACAGGGTGAGAACTTCCCAAGCTTGAGGACTATTCCATATGGATTCGGAACTTCACAAACTAAGTGATCCACTCGAGATCGTGAAAATCCATTGTGACTTATGTAAACATTTTGAACACACGATGTACCCGGGTGTAGAAAAATGATGTAAAGCATGTGACAAATATGCATACCTGGCCAGTTTCCTGAAACATGCACGAGGTATGCTGTGCGTTTGTGTTTTCCATTTCAGCATGAAATTAAGGGTAATATCTGATTGAACGAGGAATGTCCACTCTGTTGTGATTGAGAAGGGGCGAGTACTGTCAAGATGTCAATGTTCATTTAGTATATATATATATATACTCCTCCTGTCTCCTCTTTCTACGGTACCTTAGCAGCGAGTTGTTGCCGACCGGCATGTCCTGTCCATCTTCGTTCTTGAGAGCGGCATCGTACAATATCAGCTGCTCCACGAGATCAATATCGGTGCCCTTCCTGCAGAGGTCAGCAAATAGACGCATTACGTCATCGAACGATCTCTCCGTACATGGCGCGCACAACACCAAAAAAGCACCAAGACAGGGTGAGAGAGAGATTCTGAGAAGAGAGAGAGAACGAGAGAGATCGAGAGAGAGAGAGAGAGAGGAGAGAGAGAGATGAGAGAGAAGAGAGAGAGAGAGAGAGAGAGGCGAACGAGACGAGAGACGAGCAGACGAGCACCGGAGGAGGAGAGAGATGACCGCGAGAGAAGAGACGAAGACGACGAGAGAGCAGGAGAGAGAAGAGACGAGGAGACGAGAGAGAGAGAGAGATGAGAGGGGAAGAGCCGAGAGAGATGAGAGGCGAGAGGAGAGAGAGAGATGAGTGCAGAGAGATGAGAGGAGAGGAGAGAGGAAGACCGAGAGAGAGAGAGAGCAGAGAGAGAGAGAGACTTGAGAGAACGAGAGAGAGAGAGAGAGAGAGATTCGAGAAAAAGTACGAATCCCCGCGGTGAAGGCAAGTGAGAAAAGAGAGAAGAGAGAGAGAGAGAGAGAGAGAGAGAGCAAGAGAAGAGAGCGAGAGAGAGAGAGAGAGAGAGAGAAAGAAAGAGAGAGAGCCGAGCAGAGAGAGAGAGACCGGAGAGAGAGAGAGAGAGAGAGCGAGAGAGAGGGAGGAGGAGAGAGAGAGAGAGAGAGAGAGAGAGATTGAGAAACAGCACGGAAGGTGAGCAAGTGAGAAAAGAGAGAGAGAGAGAGAGAGAGAGAGAGAGAGAGAGAGAGAACGAGAAGAGAGAGAGAGAGAGAGAGAGAGACGGAGAGAGAGAGAGAGAGAGAAGAGAGAAGAGAGAGAGAGAGAGAGAGAAAGAGAGAGAGAGAGAGGAGAGAGAGAGAGAGAGAGAGAGAGAGAGAGAGAGAGAGAGAGAGAGAGAGAGAGAGAAAGAGCACTAAATGTGAGCGAGAGAGGAGAAGAGAGTAAAGATAAAACAGTAGGATAGATAGATAGCACGTGCACACAAGAGACAGAGCGAGAGGGACACAGCGAGATAGAAACAAAGAGGGTATGGGCGAGAGGGTGATAGAGAAAAAGAGCGAGCAAGCAGGAAAGAGGGAGCGGAAAATAAGGCGAGAGAAAGAGGGAGCGGAAAATAAGGCGAGAGAAAGAGAGAGAGAGAGAGAGAATTGTAGGGGACGAGTAAGAGAGCATGAAGAGGATGGCCAGGAGGGGGTATGAGAGAAAAATCAGCTGTTTTGATTCCCACAACCAGAACCACACACGTGCCCAGCCACCAGCGACACAGTCAACACTAAGTAGAATCAGCTGAAAAGAGACACTAGGATTTATAAGGGAGAGTAGAGCACACCAGATATGAGGGTGAGAGAGCACTGACAATACACGGCCAAGTACTCACCGATTCTTGTGATGGTCTGCAATGCGTTCCATGCCCTGCTCCTCTAAGCTGTCTGTTATGTCGTAGAATGTATCCTGATCGGGAACGGATGCCAACGTCTGCAAAATGAAACAATAGGCTGTAGCATGAAATCGAAAACGAATCTGTACAATCTAGCCGTGAAGCCAGGAGTTGATTCAGAAGGTCAGGATCCTTTCCCCTGTTGCAACCGCAACCCTGATATTTCTAGTATAAGAGGTGAAAATTTAATTCAGTTACAGATATTCAATTCAGCAACAAATATACAGTTGTACATATATATCTGAGTAATAGTACCTGGAGAACATTGGAGAAGAAGAGCTAGTGAGAAGAAACATGTGGCTTATAACTAGCACGTATAAACCTACCTTGTTGATGAGTGTCATGGCATAGACCAGCAGCTCAGTATCGAGTGAATCCCGGTCATCTAGCAGCTGCATGATGTTGCTCCATGGCTTTGCACCTGAATCACGAAATATTAGGATAAATATTAGGAGGATCAAGAGGGCATCACAACAATACTTAAAGATAAATATCTGATTTGCGTGATGGTGCCCGATGCTGCTCCATGGCTCTGCACCTGTGTAATATAGTTTGATTACAATCACAGAATGTTAGAATGTAATTGATCAATTAATGCTAATTCTAGCGTCAAAGCATGTAGGTGTTTCGTACCCAACTCTCTGACCAACACCTAGTATCTGCATGTCCAACCAACAATTAGCTGGCAAGTAATTGCTGCAACCTTCCATTGTAAACACTTCACATGTGAATATATCGCATTCACTTCCTGACCAACTCTTCACAGGTAATATATTCGTTTTACAGCCTCACACTTTACAGGCAATATCTACCGGCTGCCCCATCAACAACAACTGGGTAGCATGCAATTTGCAACATCTCGGCAGCAGGCTTAAGACTAAAACACCAATGTCTCCCGCCAGACACTCTGCGACAGCGTGTAATATGCATGCATGCACGCACGCACGCACGCACATCCGCGAGACAGCTGTGTGGTCACACCTCACCACTGGGCGACACCGATCGTGCCACGACGAAGGCAGCAGACGTGGGAGGCAGGAGCGCATCACACTCACCTCTCTCGCTGTCCACGATGTTGACGGCTTGAGTGAGCAGCTCGGCATTCGCGTCTGCGTACTCTACGAAGACCAGTAACAGCTTGAGTGCAGTTTTCACGACGAGCCGGTACTGCAAGGATAACAAGAGTGCGTCACTACCACGTCACTATACAACGTCACACACGCGCGCACACATGCACACGCACACACATGCAAACAATGTGCACAAGCAAATCTAGCCAGATTTCCAAAGTCCCCGTTGCTGAGCCCACGAGGATTGATTGATGGAGTTGACTCACAACGACCTTTGTACGGGAGTCAGTGAAACGTGAAGCTGTATTCCTCTAGAGATTGCTTGGCAATGGAAGTTATTGTAATGTCCCACATAAAAAATTATTATAGTTGCAAGAGAAGCTCTCCTACTTTTGTATGCCCCTGGTGGTGAAGGTCAGTATGACGTCACACGTACATACGATATTCACCAGGGAAACTTTGCTAACCCACTGTTGGTTGTGGTGTTGTGTGTGTGGTGGGGGGGGGGGGGAGTAAATGAGTGTAAAATCACAGGTACAAACAGTGACTGCATGTATTGCTGTTGTGAGTATGCTTGATGATAAGCATATATATGTAAGAAGGGTAAGTATATAATGACAATGGACATCAGCAATACAGATAAATAATATATGAGACATTGAGAGTGGAATTGCATATGCTTGGACATAGTATGCTTATGGACATGAGAGACATGTCTATAAGCATCACACAGAGAGTACGTTACAATGTTAGTGCATGTACAACTTTGGTCGATGATGGACATTATTAACTTAAAAAAACGTGCGTGCTGTCAATGTACTACTGTTGTATAACGATGTCCACATCGCTATCCTGACCGATTCATTAAGATTATCTATTCTAATGATTACACGGAGAACGTATACTGTAGCTGGCCAAGGGGAAGAACTATCTTAATCAGCAGCACTTGATTGCCCATCATAATATGCACGTGATACATGACCCAACAGATTTACTTTCGTCTTTATTACTTTCATCATATGGACACCATCTAAGGTATTACAGATAACAGCAATATTTCGCTACCTACATACTCTGATTCAGTCTTCCCCGGCAACTATAGCTCCGGTGTTGTAAAAAACAACAACAATCAATTTTGCCTTTGGCATTCAGGAAGCAAGGAAGACGATGCCAATTATGTGTTCGCATATATGACCGCAACAATTTGCAGGCTGCAGCCCTCTGAATCACTCACTGACTCTCGACGCCCTTTATTCAGCTGCTTCGCTACCACTGCCAAACTTTTCAATCACTGCCCTACGCCCCTGCATACGTGAATTGGCTTGGCTTTCACCGGGCGGTTCCGCCCGCATAAATTCTATCGTGCAGAAAGAGAGAGAGAGAGAGAGAGAGAGAGAGAGAGAGAGACAGAGAGAGACCTTCAGCTACACTACAAGCTGTCTGTAACCTAGACATCGTGAGCACAATGCGCGTTGCGGCACACCCACGGCTGTGTGCGTGTGGTAGCTACACCAACGTGCATTCAATACATAAAGGATCCAGCTGTGGACTGAGGGCAGCATTTGTTCATGCTACTATAGTTAGCACGCCCGTGGAATACATATATGATTAGACCATGAATCACTATATTTTTACATATTGCACGGTAAACTGTAATTGTGAGACGCGTGTAGGAAATAATTATTTTTTTAAATAATTTCATACAGAGCCTGCACTGAATGTCAAGCAGCCACACTGCCTAGCACAACAAAGCTGGTATGAAATTTCCCTCGCACACAATGACCCGTGCAGCGTTTTTCACATTTCACACACTTGCACACGCTCTCTTTCCCTCCAATTACAGGCTAATGACACAGTCGGCAGGCTACGCGTATGTATGCACATAGATGCTTGAACTCGTTGAACCCAGCCTACACAAGTGGATCTCCGCGATTCACGCTTCTATTTTAGTTGTCTGGTATGATCAGATTTGCAATAAAAATTCCGCGTGAAAAGAGAAGAGAGGATATATATTTTCAATTTTTCATGCGTTTCTTCTACTACAAAAACTAATCACGAAGCAGGTCTGAAACCTGTGCAGCGTGCATCTAAATTGTAAAAGCAAGCCATTGTTTATTCATACACGGAGGAAACCTATTCAACCACATTATAATTATAACAGGCACCGCTATTTAGTTAAAAAAGATAAGTTAGTTAAACTATCATTACTCTACAATTTCCTTTGTGTTTTCTATAATATATCCTATAAATTAAACTTCTAGATACACAATTCCTGTCTGTATCATTAACGCACCACGATACCTGTTATAATATAGAGTCAGTTTGTTTACCCTTTCCACTCAACTCTCTTTCAACTCTTTTTCCACGTTGTAAATCTTTAAAGACAATATCTGTGCAAATAATCACCGACAATACAGTCACTATCACGAGAAAGACAAGACGAGTAAGATAATAACCGATTGCGATATCCGTTGCAAAAAAAGCCTATAATATATAACATATTGGCGGCTCTTTGATCTTTGGTTATTATCTTACTCCTGGCAGTTTAACATCCCGTCATAGTTCATTCTCAATAAAGTTTCCTAACAAATGTACGCGTGCTGCTCTGTGATATGACCGGGAGGAAATGGCACGCCTGACCAAATATGACTTATCTCTCATATAGCTTTGCTTGCAACCACCCCACTATATCCACCCGCTACACCAGCCTACCCCTTCTAAATCCACGACGACAGCTTCGATAGAGCCTGAATACAATCCGGAACAATGCGAAGATTGGCATATCACGCGAACCGCGTCTGACAACGAAGGTAAACTTCAGATATATTAGCATAACCTATCAGATTGAGTATGTTTGACAGTTGTGTGACAAATCCTACGTCTGCCACGGCGTATAACTGTCAGCAGCTCGCGCGCGTGCACGCGAAGATGAGAAAATTATTCAAATTGAGCTCACGTAGCCGGCTTATACGTGCTAGTGTGCGGAGCAAAAGTCACACTGACATACACGCGAGTGTCGCTGCGACCAAGACATGAAATGGTGTATATACGGACCTAAACGAACAAACTACGATGATATGAACTTATGCACTCCACGCATCGGCCAGTCAACGTGGGAAGGTTCAAATGCATCTGGAGATATGGTATGAAGAATAACACAGCACGGGATTTTTCTACGCAGACGAAGGCCGCGATAGACGGGCTTGTTAAACACGAAGCCGTCACTCAGGATCAGTGGCCTTTGAGCAAATTTTAAAAACGGGTTGCCGCTGGTATTTGGAGTGCGCAGTTATTTTGTCGCGAGCTGTGTTTGCTCTCAAGTTTTGGCATCTGCCCCCCACCCCCTCCCCACGCTCCGAAATTGAGCTTTTCCTGTTAATCGTAATCCTATTTCAAGTTTACTTTCGTGTCTAACGACCTTGAAAAGTTCAAAGCATAGCGAACGAGTAATGACATGTAAGAGCTCAGACAGCCCTAGTGTGTGTGTGTGTATGTGTGTGTGTGAGAGAGAGAGAGAGAGAGAGAGAGAGTGCGTGCGTGCGTGCGTGCGTGCGTGTGCGAGCTCGCGTACGTGTGTGCATGCGTGCGTGCATGGTTGCGTCCGTATAACCAGAGCGTGGTTATAGAATGTTCCGCAACATTTTTGTAACATTCGCATAGATAGCTACAACCATGGGCTTACAAACACAATGTGATTAAAAAACACATACAAAATGTCGAGTGAACAATTGGAATTATGTTGCTATCACTCTTAGATGAGAATTATGAATAACGCATTTATGAATACGAGTAAAATGATAAGGAAATCGTGCAAAAACGTGCACCCCATGAACTGGTGAACTTTAAATCGATGTATTTATTATAACCGATAATATCCTACATGATGGTATACCTTGGCGCATTTGTTGTACAATGGGGCGACTGTGAAATTAATGGAAAATAACGATCGAAACACCTCAGACATAAAAAAATAAATACATAGATATAAATTCAAAATGCGTCTTTACTCACCCTAGATGACAGGATCGAGTAGAGCCACTGGATGGTTGCATTATGCTTGATAACGCCATTCATACCATCGACGTACAGCATAACCTGTCCCAGCGCTGTAATACATCATAACACAACATTAATTAAACAAACATCAAACCACAAGTCTCTCTCTCTCTCTCTCTCTGTCTGTCTGTCTGTCTGTCTGTCTGTCTGTCTCTCTCTCTCTCTCTCTCTCTCTCTCTCTCTCTCTCTGAGAGAGCTCTCTCTCGTCTCTCGTCTCGTC